ACACATGCAAGAAGGCTTACCTCGATTTCCAGTGAGAGTAAAATCCACTCGAAATGGATTAATTTACATAAAACAATGGAGTGGAGGATAAACTTCGGGAAAACTTCTATGTGCATAGGTTGAGGGCATACAACATCTGTTGGCAAAAACGAGTAACACTTTTTATTTAGTTTTGATAACCCTTATTATAGGAAGGTATATTAATCTTATCAATCCGTTTGTAACTATATCAAATATACATAATATCACTTCCCTCGGAAAATAAAATGATTATCTGTTTTAGAATTGTACGCTGATCAAAAATATTCATACTTTTTGGGGTCAATGATAATTACGTGATCTGCCATTCATATAAAATTAAAAAAAACTTATGTTACGCTATGGCAACATTTTTTTATCAAAAACCCAATAAACAAATGTATGTCTAGTCATTATTTTGTTTTACTAAACCCGCAACACCCGAGTAATCAACGGAATCCCACATCACTACATCACACTTCGTTTGCTGCGAGCATAAGAACAACCAACATTTAGCTTTAGTTTTCAAGCCTGTCTTTTGATTCAGGCCTTTGTTCACCCTAATTGCACTTTACTGTTTTGTACTCTCGCATTTGAGCACAACACACACACACACACACATGTAAACTACGTACGTATATTCGGTTCAAAACAAAACACAAAATATACATTGGAATGAATAAAAGTCATAAAGCGGATGGTGGATGATGCAGACAATAAAGCCGACGAATGATGATTGGTATTCGCTGAGCTGGCCACACTTTAATTGGCCACAATTTACAATTGGTCGGAATATGATGGAAATATTGGTCGATTAGTGATAAGAATGTTTGTTGAATGTAAATCTGTTCTACATAAATGAGAGTGGGAGCGTAGGCTACTGCATTTATATTTAAGCATCAGTTATTAAGAAAGCACAGGGGATTAGGGTTGGAGTTGCGAAAGAACCAATGCGATTGAATGATTCATTGAAAAGAGTGTATGAACCAGTACCCACGTGTCTATTCACTAAGAAACACTAAAAACCCCTATCAGGTCACCTTGTCGGTTAACATAATTGTCTCTGTTTTAAGATCCACAATATTAATGCGATTTATAACTTAATTTAGCCAATTGATTGATTTTTGAGCTTTATTGTATTTTTATACCCTCCACCATGCCATTCCATATGCAACACCTTAAAACAATAGTCGGAGACCCCAAAACGTGTATATATTCCTGATCAGAATGAAATAATAAGACGATTTTGCGATGTCCGTCTGTCTGTCTGTGAAATCACGATATAGTCAACATAATTTAATCAAAGGTTTATATTATATGCCGTCTAATTGGTACTTAAAATGAGCTATTTTGGTTAAATTTCAGGTATAGCCCCCATATAACGGTACCTCCCGATTATCGGTACTTTTGAGGTTTCTGCAACAATTTCCAACCAAATAAGCTAAAACTTCTTGAAAGGTCTGCTGCCTCTTTGATATTCTACTCTCTTCATTATTTCATTTTGCTTTGACAAACAGGTGGAAGGTATAAAAGAACTTAAAGTCCTTTTTACTTTTTTGCAACTGAACATACTAAGTACCGCGTGCATATGGAACTTTACTATGTATTCAAAGAAGAATAATTGGACTAATTAAAGGAAATCCAAATGATATGGTTTATTATCTAATTTTTAATGTAACAATTTCCAAATTAAAAGTGAAATGCTGAGCTGGATTGACACCTTCTAACATGGAAAAATGGGCTTTTATTCTGTCCCTAACTAAATCTTGATCGATTCAGCTAGTCGAGATATAAGCTGTGTTCCAGAACATGCCATGTTCTATTTTTACCATTTTTATTTGAACACCCTTCCCATACCCAGAAATTTGAAGGCAAAATTAAAAGAACGCTCAGAAAATTTCTGATTCCTTGACAGTATTTAGTTTAACATTCTTTCATTTTCTAGCTTTGTTATTAAAAACATGCGAACTTAAAGGAACTATAAACCGGTTTGTTGTTGCAACCGACTAGGGGAGAGGAAGAGATCGTTTACCAAAGGGAGGGAGAGAAAAGCAGCAGAAACAAGGACAGCTGTGAGTCTAAAAATGCGCGTACAAACATACATACAAATAAAATAACTAAAAGAGTACTCTATAAAAGTAGAATCAGCTCGATTTCGAACGAATTTTACTCCTAGTCAATAGCATACTTGCTCTTATTCCAGTGACATAGAGAAATAGAATATGTTCGATTTCCAATATTGAGCGAGTTTTACTTTCTATTCGAATTTCGGACCTCTGGTTATAAAAACCTGGGCCTATACAAGTTAAAATCTATACACACTTTAATATTTTCCCCTAAAACGATTTTCACATAGAAAGAGAAAGGATCATTCGGTTTTGTGCAAACTTTTCAAATCCATATATTATTGTCAGTGTTAGATTAGGAGCAAAAATGAACAATATCGACCCACGGGATGTACCTGATATCCCCTACAAAGGGTCAAATTATTGAATATTTATATCTCTAATAAAACGAGAAATAAGCATCAGATTTTCTTCAAATTTCGCACATCCCAATATTTTCTTTAACACAAGATCTGGTGTGGAGATGGTAGATATTGGCCCACTCCTTGTGATACCTCGCCCACAAAGGAGTCCACATTTCGAATTACCATAAAACGTAAAATGAACACTCTATTATTTTCAGACTCGGCACATCGCTATCTTCTATCAAAACAAGATAATATGTGAAGATGGAATATGTCGGACCATTCCTTCTTTTACCTCCTCCGCAACGTGTCAAAATTTTAAAAAATTATATCTCTCATGAAATGCAAAATACACACCCGAATCACAATATTTTTACTAACATAATATCTGTTGTCGAGATCGTAGACCTGCCCCTTCTGGTACCTCCTCTTCAGAGGGTCAAATTTTTGAATACCCAAAACGCTCATAAAATGGAAAATAAGCATCCGATTCTTATTCATCCCAAGATCGCAGATATCGGTTTGCTCCTTTTGGTATCTCCCCCACAAGGGGTTCAAATTTGGAATAACAAAACGCTGATATAATGCAAAGTAAACATTAAATTCTCTGCAAGTTTCACACGTCGCAACTATTTTACTATCTTTAGAACTGCTGTGGTTGATATCCATCGCCCATCCCTCTTGGTACCTCCCTCATATAGGGTTAATATTTACAATACTTGTATCTCTAAATGTTTCTCTCAACCAGTGTTCTGATTTGAATATGGAATTTACTGGCCAACTCCCTATGGGGTTTCCCCCACAAAGTGCTAAAATTTTGATTGACAGTTTTTAGATTGACAACATTTGATTGAAATTGGCTACAAATGTTTGTTTTTCTTTAAATTTTTTACAATTTAAAAATGTTATTAGTATTAGACAAAGTAGAATTCTTCGGTCCGTTATATCTCAAGCCGCACTTTCATTTGAACATTTTTCGAAAATTATCACATATCTCATATAAATTGAAGGAAATAGTCGATATATTCAAAAATTTGGTGCTGCGTAATATTTATATAAGACTTAGATCAGATATTGGCCCACTCCCGCGGTAAGGGGTCAACAATAAATAAATTTAAATAATAAATACACCACATAGTGAATAAGGAAGCGAGATAGACCAATAGTTTCTTTTGAGGACCTTGAAAGAATCACTTTCTGAGCCGATTTATGGACGTCAGTACGTCCGTCAATATATTTTTGTGAACAAAAGGCAGGTCGCATTTATTACCCGAATTCTATTGAAATTAGTTATAATCGGATCAGATTTAGATATAGGGTTAATTGTGCGCCAAATGACCAATATCAGACCAAATAACCTGCATTTTGGCATATAGACCGAATTCAGTATAGGAGCAAGTACATTAAATTCGGAGAAAATCGGTTTAGATATAGCTATAGCTCCCATATATATGTTTCATCGGATTTGGTGTTTAAGTCCCCCACATTCGTAATATGCACACCACAAGAATGATGCTTGGTATCAGATATCAAATATAGCCCAGAAATACCTGTGCCAAATTGTATCAAGATCCTTTCAGATTTGGATGTAGCTCCCATATATAGCTTCAACCGATTTCGGATTAATTGTGCATTGAATACCCAATATCAGTCCAAATGGTCTGAACTTTGGCACATCCGACCGAATTTAGTCTAGAATAGCTCCAATTTATATGTTTCATCCGATTTGGTGTTAAAGTCCCTCAAATACGTAATATGCACTCCACAACAATAATATTTTGTACCAGATATCAGAAATACCTCTGTTGAATTTTATCAAGATCGGTTCAGATTTGGATATAGCCCCCATATATATCCTTAATCCGATTTCAGGTTTATTGTGCAAATAATGCCTAATATCAGCCCAAATGAAATGAATTTCGGGACGTAGGTTTCCATTTTGTGGAACTTGGCTTCAATATATATATATATATATTTTAATATGATCCTTTTCGAAATGATATTTGGTATAAAAGATTAAAATGTCTCCGTCCAATTTAGTGAAAATCGATTTAGGATTGCATATGCCTCCCATATATTAGTTCCCTCTGAAACCAAATTATAACAAATGTTTATAGGTTGTATGATCTACTTCAAATAAATGCTTTTGTTACGGGAGCTCTACTAAATATGCATATTGGTGTAGGCTATCATATAGTCGGCCCCACCTGACTTTTGACTTTTCCTTACTAGTTTTATAAGTTGACATTGGAGTAGGGTATACATCTGATGAAAAACCCGACTGATACTTTCTAGCTTGTTTATTATAAATTATTTTTCGGTCATTTCCACTGTTTAGCCTTTGCTAATATTTCTTTCCTCTTGTCTTCGATTATCTTAGTTGTTTTCTCCAACTCATTAGATCTAATTACACTCAAATTATTAATGCGATGTTTTTCAACAGTACCATTGTTTTGTTCCCTGTTATGTTCTCAACAGATTTATTAACGTTTCTCTTTTGTTAAAGACTTACTGTGTTCATTTGTTGTTGCACACGTAGCTGTCGTTGGAGTTGTAGGTCTTATTTCAACATCCACACTTGTCTCTGTTACTTCAGATGTAAAATTGTCTGATTTTGTGGTTGCCTCCACAAAAAGATTTTCAATGAATTCTTTGTGATCTTGGCTCTCTTTCGTTGAAAACTGATGTTGTAATTGTTGGTGTTGTAATTTATCATCGACCTCAACCATATGTTCACCAATTCGTTTTGCTTTTAGTACTGATGTTTTCAACTCTGGGGTTGTTGTCGCAGCTAATCCCTCTTTTCTGACACAGGGTGGTTGTGGTGCTAAACGTTTCTTTTTAGAACCGCTGACTTTTCTGGGATCAGTTGTTTTAGTTGTTGACTTGACGCTTTGCCAACCAGCGCCTTAGGAGTGTAACAAAGGAAGAAAGAGCAAACAATTCGGAAAATAGAAACAAGTTGACTTTATTTTTCCATTAACTTGGCAATAGGCAACGGCAACATCAACAACAACGATATTTAATTAATAAATGAATTAATTGGAAGAGAGTGATGAAGTAAACCACAAAGAACAATTAAAGAAATCTCAAAATGAGAACACCATGCAAACAACACATTTACTTGCAATACATGTACGTGTGCATGTGTGTGTGTGGGTGTTTCTGTTATAGATTGAATTTGGGTAGTACAAAGGTTAGAGGGCAAGCCATGCAGGCACAGTGTTTCAAAATCTGGTTTGGTAGATGGGTACATGTGTATTTAAAGTGGAACTTCTAAGAGACTATGGGTTTTAGGAAATATCTAAATATCTAAATGTACAATTATTTTGAAACTACTTTACGCCTTAACAAATAATTACTTTTCGAGAATAATCAATTGTTTCGCTACTAGGCTTAAGGCTATACAGTTCAATATTAAACAAATAAATTTGCAGACTTCGTTTCATTATTTATTTACAATTTACATAGGATAATACACCTAAAAACACATCAGAACTCCCGTTTATTGTGATAGCTTTAGACGTTTTAAATCAAAGAATTTTGTGTCGTTACGCAACACAAATTAACGACTCCAACAATTTGTAATTACACAAATGCTGAGATATAAAAACTCGTATTGTATTGCATAATGTAGTATAACCTCAGCTTGATGGGCCGTGAGGGTATATGCCATTTGATACGGCCAAAATATGATGATGAAATCCGCTTCAGTGCATTTAGAGTCGATATAGCCATGTTAGTTCCTCTGGATGTTTATATGTCTGTCTGTCTGTCTGTCTGACCGGCTAATGCTCACGAAATTCGAAATTAAACCAATAAAAAGAGGAGGTGCATATGATCCGATTTCGAAACAAACTTGTACGATACTTGTGGGGGTCTAAAAGAACAATATATAGGCTAATATGACACATATGGCGGACGAAGATGTATATGGGAGCTGTAGCTAAATTTTGAACTATTATCACCAATTTCAATAGGGTTCGTCATTGGGCCAAACAACTGATTTGTGGAAAAATTTATTTCACCAACCTGAACACGTCAGTCGACTGTCATAATCTGTGCACATAATAGTCGCATGTAAAGAATTGCATTGATGTTTAAAAATGTTACATAATATAATAATATTGTAGTGGTTTCTTCAATTTTCACATTATTTTAATCTGCCGTTTTCTTGGATGGATTCAAGCAAGGCTGAGCAAGGAAAAAACTAAAATCACTCTCGCCAATGATACACTTAACAACAAAAATGCAGATATTTGAACTCCAACATTTGGAAAGTAACTGATGTAAAAATATGCCTGCTAATGTCGAAATTCCAGTATTCGAGGGGTATGCGTCACTTCTCTCATTAGGTGCATACAATGCAAATTTCAAATTTCAAAAAAGTATCAGTTGGTTTTGCCGAAGGAGTGGACCGACATTATCCACTTCTCATCTGAACTAACTCTGATATAACCCGATAAAAACTACAGCGTTCCCGATTTGGACTATATCGATTTATATCACTTTATATGAGATATGTGATAATTTTTTGAAAGTGTTGAAATATCCATAAGGTACCAAATATAGTGGATTGACTTCATCTAATACTCATAAAAATTTTGGGATGTGGAAAATTTAAAGAAACTCGGAAATCTATTAGTAATTTTATGGGAATAATTGTTAATCAACATTTTAACCTATTGTGGGGAGGTACGAGAAGGAGTGGGCTGATAAATTCCATATTCGCATCAGATCTCTGGATGAGAGAAATATTTACATATACCAAGTTTGAAGAGTATCGCTGACTTGTTTTGCAACTTACGAGAGATATAAGTATTTAAAACTGTTCAATAATTATTCAAAAGTTTGCCCCTTGGGGTGAGACACCACAAGGAGTGGTCCGATATATTCCATCTTCATAGCTGATCTTTTGTTGGTAAAAATATTGAGAGGTGCCGAGTTTGAAAGTGATCGGATACTCATTTCGCGTTTTATATGAGTTATAATTATTCAAAAATTTTACCCAGAGTAGGCCGACATAGCACGGATACAAATTTTCGGATTTGCACAAAATTTGACGATCCTTGTTTGTTCTATATGGTAAATTATTTTCTATAAAATATTTGACTTTTAGTTTCGAAGGTACCACAAGAAGTAAACAATGATATTACAATGTACCAAGTTAGGATTAAATCGAATACTCCCTTCGAGTGCTATTGTGTGGACCAGCCAACCAGCCAGACAAACGGACATACACCCCTAAAGCGACTACAAATATCCTGAAACGGATTTGGTTCAAAGAGACCTGGGGTCTAAAACCCCTACTTTGATGAGACACGTTTTGGCCGTATCAAATGATAAATACTCTCTGTAGCGATATGGCTGAGGATATAAAAAATGGGTAAAATTGTCATAATATCGAATAAACGATGGATAGGATCTATAGAAATTGTACTGCAACAGGAGTAGAGAAAAATTACGAAATCCAAACTTAGAATTTTAAAACATTTCGTTAGAAAATGTGGCAAAAATCGTCAAAATACCGAATATTGGAAAGTGCCGTTATATGGGGGCTGTGGCAAAACTTGGACCTACTTGGACAATTTTCTAATACAGTGGCTGACACCCTTAGCTAATAACAAATATTACATTTGAGACACATAGGCTTAAATCACAAGGGCATTGAATATCTGTTGGTACCGTTTTATGGGAGCTATAAGGAAACATGAACCTACATATGTACGCAATGTTCTGCTACCTTGAATACATGATCGGTGTTTTGAGACATCAAGGGTCTTTGAAGATTTCGGATTAGTATTCCTTGGAAGCCGTTGATATTAGGTATATAGTGTCTTGAGCAATACTGCAGATTAAAATACGAAGATAACTTTGGTCGATAATTTTAACTCTCAAGCTACTTTTTAAGCGCGATCAAAATATTCTGCAAAATTATTTGTCATGAAATTCTGCTATAGTTCCTAGAAGGCGTCAAGTGTCTAAACCTTATCTAAACGCTAGAAATTCATATATATTAAAACACATTCTAGGGATAAAGCTGTACTTTGTATGAGTTTATGAAAAAATCGTCTACAAAACATCATTTTGGGAGGATGAGGTCAAATACAAAAGTATCGTCCATCCAACTTCACTTTGAGACACCAAAGAAAAGTAATCTTTATTTCCACTGTATATCACAAAAATATGTTCCCAAATAAAAAAAAACCGAAAATATTTCCCCATTATACCCTACACCACAACTTGGTCAGGGTATTATGTTTTTGTGCATTTGTTTGTAACAGGCAAAAGGAAACAAGATAGAACCATCATCTGCATAGAGTCACATTCTGAGTCGATTTATGCATGACCATCCGTCTGTCGGCCCATGTATTTTTGTAAACAAAGTCGCATTTATTGACCGATCCAGATGAAATTTTGCACAAGTCATTTGTTTGACACCAGGACGAACCCTATTGAAATTGGATATAATCGGTCAAAATTTAGATGTAGCTCCCATGTATATATTCATTCGATTTTCCCTTTATTGTGCACAAAACGTATAATATTAGCCAAAACATACGACCAAATTAAGCCTGGAAATAAGTATGCCAAATTTGTTCGAAATCGGTTCCGATTTCTAATTTTTGTCCTTCACAGCTATAATATGCACTCTGTAAAAACGATATTGCGGATAATATATCAGAAAGAGCCCAGAAATAGCTTTGCTAAATGTTATCGAGATCGGTTCAGATTTGGATATAGCTCCCATATATATCTTCGTCCGATTTGCCTTTTATTGCGCACCAAACGTGTAATATTTAACACTTACAACCAAATTTAGTTTACAAACAAGTATGCCAAATTTAGTGAAAATAGGTTCAGATATAGCTATAGATTTCGATATAGCTCCCATATATATCTTTATCCCATTTCAAGTTAATTGTGCACCAAATGGGTAATATAAGCCCGAATTATAAAGGTACAAATACCCCGCAAAGTTATTAGTTGCTTTGTACTTTAAGTTATAACTAAAATCATAATTGGTATGATTAAGTTCTAACAAATTCCCTATGAAATCTTTTTTTTGTTATAGGGTATCATATAGTCGGCCCTCCCGACTTTGAGACTTTATTGGTTTTTCCTTAAATTTAACAAGATACCAATCCAAGTCAAAATCTCCCTTTATGCATCATAATCTGGGGAAAGTGTCAAATGAAGAATTATTCTAGAACAAATTTCATTATAAGTCTCTGAAAAATTTTTTTGGAATAGCCCCCATGTAGGGGCAACTCCGTTGTCAAGTGTTCTTTACGTTATATGTAGATTTTTGATACAACCCTTATTTAAAAATACCTCCGGATTTTAATTATTTCCAAGGTCTTGACAATATTTTCCAATCTACTTTAACTCTGTTTTGACTAAGTTGTTTGACTGAATTAGCTACAACTTAATATTTTCGGTTTTTATCAGCAAAAAAAAAATGTTCCACGTTTTAGGGAAGCCCCCATAGAATAGTAGCAACGATTTCAGATATTTTTAAGGTTTTGGGCACGGAATGAGTTATATTTTTTTATGATCAAATACTGGAAAGTAGATTTTGTTAGTATAGCCCTACATTTCAGACCCCATTTGGAAAACACTTTAGTTTCCGAACGAAATGAATTGTTAGTTCTGCAGGACTTTTGGTATTGAAAATGGACGAAGTAGGACCTTGTTTTGGTATACCTCCAAGTTTAAGTTTTTTGGCCAGTATGTGCTCCCATTTCCCACCGGAAATGTTTTAAATTTCGTATTTGAAGTTCCTAATGGGTACTACAGTCTGTGACAGAAAATTGTCTATGAAGGTCCTCGTCAGAGGGCTGCAATGAGTATGATCGAGTAGGCTTGATCACACACAGTGGAAATACAATCAAACTCAATCAGTCG